AAGTATATTTTCCAACCACAATGAAATTAAGTTAAAAATCAATAACAAAAGGGAAACTTGAAAATTCACAAATATGTGGATATTAAACAACACACTTAAACAACCAATGAGCCAAAAAAGAAATCAGTAAGGAAATTAGAAAATATTTCAAGATGATGAAAATGAAAAACACAACATACCAGAATTTATAAGATGCAGCAAAAGCAGTACTCTGAGGGAAATTTATAGCTACAAATGCCTACATTAAAAAGAAGCAAGATTCTAATTCAACAACCTTGCTTTTTAAAATTAAAGAACTAGATAAGGAGCATAATAACCCAAGGCCAGCAGAAAGAAGGAAATAAAATATAAAGGTCAGAGTAAAGATAAATAAAAAAATAGAGAAAATCAATAAAATCAAAAGTCTTTAAAAAGATCAACAAAATGAACAAACTTTTAGCTAAAAAAAGGGAGAAGATATAAATAATTATAATCAGAAATGAAGGAGGAAACATTAGTACCAACCATATAAAAATAAAAAAGATTCTAAGTGAGCACCACAAATAATAGTTCACCAATAAACATAATCAAGATGAAATGAACTAATTCCTAGAATCACATAAATTACCAGAACCATCAAGAAGCAGCAGAGTACCAACAGACCCATAATGATCAAAGAGAGGGAATCATCAATGGAAGTCTTCCCAACAAAGAGAACTTCCAGGATCAGACAGCTTCACTGGTACACTCTAAACACACTTAAAGAGGAAATACTGGTCCTACTTTAACTCTTCCGAGAAAACAGAAGAGGATGAACAGTTCCAAACATAATCTAAGAAGCTGTCTTTAACCGTTATCGAGACCAGCAAAGATAGCACAAGAAAAGAAAACGACAGACCAATATCCCTTATGAATTTAGATATAAAATTTGCAACAAAATATTGCCAAATCCAACAACACATTAAACGAATTATACACCGTGACCAAGTGGGATTTACCCCACAAATGCATGGGTGGTTCAACATATGAAAAACCAATCAATCAATACTACATCAACAGGAATGAAAGGAAAAAAATCATCATATCAATCAATACAGAAAAAACATTCCATAAAATTCAACATCTTTCATAATAAAAACACTCAGCCAACGAAGAATAAAAGAAACTTCCTTAATATAGTAGAGGGTATTTATGAAAAACCCACAACTACTGCATCAAAGGCAGTGGTGAGAGACCAAAAGCTTTCCTCCTAAGATCAGAACAGGATAAGGATATCTGCTTTCTCAAAACACTGCTACTCAACACTGAGCTGGAAGTCCTATCCACACAGTTACGCAAGAGAAAGGAAAAAAATGTTCCCAATTGGAAAGGAAGAAGCAAAGCTATCTCTATTTGCAGATAACATGATTGTATACATATAGAAAATCTCATAGGATCCACAAAATAAACAAGTAGAATTCATAAACAAATTCAACAAAGTTGCAAGGTACAAGATTAACACACAATTATCAATTTTGTTTCTATATACTAGCAATGAACAACCTGAAAAGGAAGTTAAAAAAGTAATTTCATTTATAATAGCACCCAAAAGAATAACATACCTAGGAATAAATTAAGAAAGTGAAAAACTTGTACATTGAACATGGCCAGAAAAAGTTAATGACATTAATAAATGACAAAAACCCCATGTTCGCTTAATGTTAGAATGGCAATACTCTCCAAAGTGATCTACAGATTTGGTACAAAATCTGTTATCAAAATTCCAATGACCTTTACTGGGTAAATGAAAGCTGAGTATCAAATTTATATGGAATTGCAAGCGGCCCAGAATAGCTAAACAATACTGAAGAAGAAAACAAAGTTGAAGGACTCACAGTTCCCAATTTCAAAACTTACCACAAAGCAACAGTAAGTGTGCTTACAACGCAAGTGTGCTACAGGCATAAGGATAACCATCGAGACCAACGGAACAGAACTGACAATCAGAAATAAATCCAAACATGTACAGACAACTGACTTTTTTGTCTTTATTTTACAGAGAGAGGAAGGGAGGGAGAAAAAGAGGGAGAGAAACATCTATGAGAGAGAAAAACATGAACTGGCTGCCTCCTGCAGGCGCCCCAACTGGGCACAGAACATGGAGCCCAAAACCTAGGCATATGCTCTGACCGGGAAGTGAACCAGCGATCTTTCAGCGTGTGGGATGACACCCAAATGGGCCACGTCAGCCAGGGCCAGCCAAATGATTTCTTACAAATCTGTGTTCACTGATTTTTGGGAGAGAGGAAGGGGGAGGGGCAAGAGACAGCGAGAGACATCGCTTTGTCGTTTAACTTATTTATGTGGCCACTGGTGGATTCTTGTATGTGCCCTGATGGGATTGAGCCTGCAACCTTGGCATATCAGCAAGTCACTCTAACCAGCTTGAGCTACCCAGCCAGGACTGAAACAATTGATTTTTGACAATGGTGCCAAGACCATCAAATTGAAAAACAAGTCTCTCTTTATTGATGTTGGGACGACTGGATAACCACATAAAAAGAATAAAGGTGGACTCCTGCCTTACTCCACATACAAAAAAAACAACAACAAAACTCAAAATGGATCAATGACCTAAATATGAGAGCTAACACTATAAAACTATTAGAAGAAAAGATAAAATAAGGTAAATATTTCTGACCTCAGATTTGGCAATAAATTTTAGATGTGACATCAAAGAACACAAGCAACGGCAACAAAAAAATATGAAAAGACAACCCGGAGGATGGCACAAACTCTCTGCAAATCCTGTGTGTGACAGGTTTCACATCTGGAATTGTGAGAGTTCTTACGACTCAAAACCAAACACAATCCAATTAAAAAGGGGGCAAAGGACTGATAAGACTGCTCTGGAAGCTACCAAGAGTGAATGCATGTGAGACGGTGCCGCAGAGACAGAAGAACGGCGTTTTGTTGTGTATCTTTTTATATTTAAAAAAAACGTTAAACCTTGTGAACATATTCCTTAATCAAAACTTAAAACCTGTTTCCAATGTTCTATGTATTTATTTAGCTAGGATATTACCATGACCAGTTTACAGAAGGATATTTTAGTTGTATTTACATACCAACAAAGGCTTATACTGATAACAGAATACATGAAACTAGAGAAATGTTTTTAAAAACCAAAATATTAATCCTTCAACCACAAGACCTTTTTAAAAAATATACATTTAAAGAACTAAGCTAATTAAATAAAAGTAATCTAACATCAAAGGATGAAGTAAAATAAAAGTTTTGTACTTTTATGTCCTGGCATTTGTTTCAAAGCAAACCAAGTTATACTTTGTCATTTCCCAATTTAATTCTGAGGGAATACAACTTTGATGTCCTATAAATGGCAAATTTTCTAATAAAATAGAATAAGGTACAAATAATTCAATAAACAAAAATAATCAATTCTTCATGAAATTATAAGTATATATTTTTAAATATAAAAAATTTAAAATCAGCCAGAAAAGTAAACATCATACCACAAATAAAAAATGTATGTTTGTATATGTATATGTATTGTGTACATGTTTTATATGTATTTATATATATAATGTATCTAATTACTGATGATGCATGTTTATAAATACTTCATGCAGTACAATCAGGTTTTAGTGGTAGGGTTTTTATGATAAAAAATGGAAAAATTAAAATATAAAAAAGCTTATATTACATCTCATAATAATTAGGTTTCTGTCATATTTTAAAGACTAATTAAGGAAACATAGTAAAAGGAACGCAAACATTAATGCATTGCATGGATTATGTTACAAGCTGAAAAAGGAAAAGAAGCTCAAACACCATTCTGCCAGGCAGAACCGCAAAACAACTGAAATTCGACACTGATCCTTCAAGAGACAGAAAATGTTCCATACTTATTAATATCTCACAACTATGTTTAAATAATAGGCAAAATATAACCATCAATAAGAAAGGCCATTTTTATCTTTTTTAATGAAAAATATTTATAGGAATAAAAATGTTTGAAGCTCTACAAATAACTCTTCTTGAGGATCAGTACAAATTTCTTATGCTAAACAGATAAGGATAAGCTTTGTATTGGATTTGCCAATGCATTGTGTACCTATCATACTGTAGGTCCCATGAATTATGATACTATTATTTACATTAAGAATATAACAGAAGAAACTTACATGGTACATTCTAAAATATTCCTAACCCATTTTACATAAAAAATTTTGTAAACTGGAAATAGATTTTATAAACTTCATAATTCAAATAATGATTAAATTTGTTTGCAAATAAATCATCCACTGTCATGTAAGTGAGGTTACAACTAACTTTTCATTAATCTTTTATTAGCTAAATATAACTGTAAAGATAATATTCTACAGTAGTTAGGCTCATAACATAGGCTATAGATACTAAAGTATATTTGCTCCTGTATTTTGGATATTTAAAGCATCTGTCAGTAACAGGCTAGCTATAACAAAAACAAAGCAGGTACTTTCAAAAGTTATTGTAAATATTATAACTATTCTATCATCATAAAACAAGTGTGGTTATTGCCAAACAAATATATAATAAAACTAGCATTTATAATAGTTACTATAAAAGTACACTTAAGAGTTACATTTTTAGTCCCTGTTAATTTTCAACAGAGTGTCTATTTCTGTAGACATTACAAGCATATCTTACCAAGAGCAGAGATAAAATAAATTAGTTAACTAGTAATGTAAAAACAGACAGTGTTCATGGCACGTAAATGGACCTACAGTACTAGTTAGTGTTGCAGAAGCTAATGATGCTTTAAGCAAAACTGAAACAACATGAATACCATGCAGTTTTACTGAACTCACCTGACAGAGGTGTAAAACCATTCTCTAGGAGCAGAGATGCATGCACAAAAGTAAGAATATGATTGCAAGTAATAGACTGTAACAAAATAAAAACATAACACTAAACTTTAAAATGACAAAGAATGGACCACATGATGAGATCACTGTGACAAAACTCTCTGTGTGTCTCACCTCTCTCTTCGCCAACAGCACGTTAGGAACGATGTGTGGCAGGCAGCGTCCCAGCATCAGCATGACACTTTTCTCGCTGTCTGCAATCCGCGACACCTGGAAAACCAAGGCAGAAATGGGGACAGTGGAGAACCCCTGTGCACAGTGGCACTAAAAGTGCACACTTTAAACCTCTGCACCACACCCGCACCCACAACCACAACTTAGGATGAGGACGATGGTAACAACAACAACAACAACAGTGTTACCAAACATTTCTCTAGGCCAAAAGTGGATTAAAAACCAGTAAGAAGGGAGGAGTTAGACAGGGAGGCCCACTATGCTTCAGCTCTAGGAACAAGTAAGGATAATCCAGGACTTGGGCAGCTTCAGTACTTTTTCTTTTGCTCTTGAGAAGATGTCCAAAAGCCACAATCTTTGCCTAAGGAGAGTGTGTATAAGGGAGCTGCATGCAAGGGGAGGCCCAAGGAGGCTGACCGAGCCTTACACTGAGGATTGGCTGGACTGCACCCACACGACCCTCTAGCTCTTTCATATATATTCTCAGTGGTTCTGTGGGACAGCAGCCCAGCAAGTGGAACCAACCAGAAAACAGCTAGAAAGGGAGGGGTACGTATAAAGGCAGGAGAAGAAAATAATGTAAAATACCCTGTCACGATGAGTGCAAGAACAATGAATTACCAAGCACCTGAGGAAAGTTCATCTGAGAGCTAACAAACTGAGTGAAGACAAACATTCCTAATAAAGTAAAAATAGTGGAGTAATCTAAAAAGAACTGAAAAGATGGTAAAAAGTCACTTAGCATTAGCTAAACAAAGCTTTAATCCAAAGAACAGAAATAATCAACTACCTTCCTTAAAAGTTAAGTATTTTAGGAACTATTTCTTAGAACATTATTTTAAATAACAGTCTTGGATTTAAAAGTGTTATCACAGCTGTTTTTGGATGATGCACTAAAAAAAAAAATACCCGAATGTTTTAAGAGAGTTGTAAGAATATCTGGTATTATTTACCTCTGATCCTAAACGACTGTCTGCTGACATTCGACAAAAAGAGAGTAGTGCTTGATGGAAAGCAGGAGATAATTTCCTAGAAGAAAATGACAGCACCAAACAGTTACCACTGGTATTTAAGGAGAAGTAAGTTATGTGTTGTAATTCCCATTCCTGTGTTGATACTACCCCACAAATGTTAACTGGATTTCTCAGGCGCCGATGACTTGAAGGACACCTTACTACAGAATTATCTGGGAGGCGGGGAATAATCAGCAATAATCGCTGCTCTTAAAACAGCTTGATGGTATGTGAATGCACAGTCAGTAAATGCTCATGGGTCAAACATGAAGTACCTGCAAAACCTGAAATGAGAACCTTTTTCTCTCCAGTTCTTTATGGTCCCAGAAAGGTAAACAATGGGTACAAAGGCTGAGCTGGTAAGTGGCTGAGAGAATTAAAGTTCTGCATATCTGTATAGTGGTAACAATAAAACTTAATGTTCAAGATCCACACAAAAGAAGTAATGTTTAAAGTAAGTGAAGGAGAAGCTCATTCAACATTCATGGTCTATTTTAATGTATTTTTTGTAATTAAAAATATTAATCTAATTATGTTTCTAAAACAACACCGGTCTCTCTGTGTAGTAGTATTTGTGGAATTATAACTATGATTTTACACGCTCACCAAAAATTACACAAAGTGGCACTCAGTATTTCTATGATGACAGAGTTAGAGCAGCGTGCCCAAGCTTGAGCTTATTTGCTCATTTACATTCGCTCTCGGATTTTTGCAGCAAAGAGGACCACCATAATTCACACAATTGCCCAAGCCAGAAAATTCAAACCAGCCTTTATACTTTCCTTAACCTCAAATTAAATCAATCTTTACCATGTAACTACTTTGCAGATCCATCCGCTTCCTACCAGCAGAGTACAGGCCTCGATTGTTTTTCACTTGCATTCTTCCAACAGATGCTCTCTCAGTCTCCTTTCCTGCTGGGCTTCCCTCTAGCTGCCTCTCCCCGGGAGGGCTCTTTCTAAAACTGAGACACCGTGATGTCCTAGCTCTCCGAGATGAGTTAGCACGTCTTCTATGACTTAGCCTTTGCTTAATTCTCCAGCTTCATCTCCTGCCATCTTCTCACTTGCATTCTCTCTTAACCCTTCCTAAATTCTTCTTAGTTCCCCGTATGCACCATCTTCTTGCATATGCTGTTCTCCCCTGATGGGAATATTCTTCCTCTTACCTCTTTGCTCGGTCAACTTGTACTACTCATCAGGTCTCAGGATGGGTAGCAGTGCTTCCCTGAAACCTTTCCTGCTGATGACTAGTTTGGGTGCACTGACTGTGTGCTCCCAAAGAAGCTGAACTTTTCTTATATTACCACTTTTCACACTTCAGTATAATTGCCTGATTATTGGTCTCTTTCATACTGCGAGGTTTATGTCTGACAGGTTTCTATACACTCTGCTTACCATTCTATTCCTTGTTACCACTGTCTGGCACATAGTTAAGAACTAAAACAATTAGTTGAACAAATTTAACAATCATCTTTCTCTAGAGAGTGGCTTTTGAATACCAAAGGATATATATATATATATATATATATATATATATATATATATATGAAAGTACTCCTATGACTAAAGAACTACTGTTCTACAAATGCCATTATTGTTATCAGAACACAATTTTTTTATCACTGTATCTTACCCATATTAAAGTAAATGCTCCATTTCAACTATGTAAGCACTGTAACACCTAAAGAAAAAATATACTTTCGAGGTATACAAAAAGTTGCGGTTCATGGATGGAGAGCTTTGCTTAAAAACCAACCAACCAAATACTTATCACTAACAATGAGTACCTACGAACTGTGCTTACCTATTATATCCCAACACTGGGTATAATATCCCTCTGTTTAACTGAAGGAAGCATGGCTTTGAGGCTCACAAGGCAGCATAAGATATTTGTGAGGATTAAATAAATTAGTATAAAGCCCCAGCTGGTGTGGCTCAGTTGATTGAGCACTGGCCCATGAACCAAAGGGCCGATTCCCAGTTGGGGCACATGCCTGGGTTGCAGGCCAGGTCCCCAGAAGGGGACACATGAGACGCAACCACACATTGATGTTTCTTTCCCTCTCTTTCTCCCTCCCCTCTCCTCTGTCTAAAAATAAATAAATAAAATCTTTACTAAGTTAGTACACGTAAAACACTTAGAACTGTGCCTGACAGATTAAAAGGTTCATGAACTAGTCCTTTCTTAAAATTATTTTTCATATTATAATCTAAACATTTTTAAAATTATGTTTTGTCTCCTTCACTAGAAAACATGGTCATGAAGGGTTGGGACCAGGCTTTTGCCATCTGAGTTCAATCACTGAGAGCTATTAAAAATTAAGTAAATGAGGTAAAAGACTATTGATGATACATTATTAGTAATGGAAGAAGACATAGGAAAAAGGACGAGGAGGAAAAACTGCTCCCTCTTTATTACAGGCAACCACATACTACTGCAGCCTCTTCTGAGTCTGAGGACAACTGAGGCACAGAGGAAGGGTAAAAAGCACGGGGGAAGGCTGTCTGTGGTACACAGCAACATACGCATTATTTACAGGTGTAAGCACTTAGCTAAGACAGGACCTACCTCATTTACAGTTTATGCCTCCTTAATGTAATTTAACTCAGCAATTAGATTGTGATATCCCTTTTTGTGACATGTAGTTGCTAGGTGTTAATACTGATGTAAAAACTGATGCCTCTGATCTGAAGAAGCAGTTCAAAGAACTGAAGCTCTTCCACTCCGATAATGTACAAAGCAGCTGGAAGGTACATTTCAGACCATAGGGTGCACACTCACCTGTTGGGTTTATCAAAATGGACTGTGCTGTTACTTGCTGGAGAGGATGGTATTCCTTCTCTTTCTCTCCTGGGTAAAGAGTTTGGGAAACTCTCTTTAGGAACAGTGGAACCAACTTCGTCGGGTTTTGAAAGATGGATATCCTTGTTCTCTCCCTCATCTGAACTATTTATAACTGGTTTCTGTCCACTGTCCTCAGAGTCTTTGTGAAGAGGCTGATCCAAAGAAGGTTGAACAGAGTCAGAAATTACTGGAATAGCAAAGTGTTCATTTTTGAGAAAGTCCATTTCGCTGTAGAAAGAAAGAAAAATGATCAGACAACTATACTTTTAAACACTTAGACAATAGCATAAACCTCATAATGGGTTTAATTCCTTAAAAATGTAACAGAATAGAAATGGTTTGGCACTGATCAACCTTTTCCATAGTATATATTCTGATGCTTTATGTACCTAAAAGCTATAACTGTTTACCAAAGAAGCATAAAAACAACCTTAGAAACTGCTTTGGATTAACACTTGACTTTGATTCTTCAGTTGCAAAATATGGATAATTCCATCTAACCTGCAGGATTGTCACAAGAAATGAAATAATAAATGAGAAATGTGTGTAACACTAGTGTGAGGGAATTATTTTACTGATATTGACAGAACTCAGGAGAAGCAGAAAATACCTTATTCCTTGGTTCTAAGACATAATTGATTATTAGGTCACCACATTGGTTTAATAACATTTTTGGGGGGTGTCAGGACATATTAATATGCAAAGCAACTATAAAACTTTCATTCAGAAGTATTATAATGTTAAAAGTTACGTCTGATAACTGAAATGTTATTTACATTTATAATCTCATATGATAAAATGAAGTTTTTTAGAAATGATAATGAAGTACTAACCTTTCAAGTCTTCTGATTTGTTCCATCAAAGACCATTTCTCACTACTTAATAAACTAATTTTATCCTCTAATTTCTGTACAAGCAAAGAGTTCTAAAATAAAAACGAGAGGAAAAAAAGAAACTCAAGATCTCACAGTATGCTTTTATGGATTTTAGATACTTTCTGTGGACTTGACTAGCTAGTTAACATTGCTCACCTCTACAGTATGCGGAGTCTCAGGGGTCAAAGGAAGGTCGCCTGTAACTGGTGTGAGGGCCTCTAGTTCCTCCTCTTCTACTCCACTGGCCGCATCCACAAGGTCTTTTCCAGTCACTTGGTGGTTCCCAAAATCTCGGTAGAGTTGCAATAAATCTGGAGGTTTTGGAATGTTTAATCCTACATCATCCCATAATTCAAAATCCTAAATAATAATAATAATAATAGTAATTTTGAGCTCTGAGGCAATTTTATCATGCAATTTTGAGGTTTATTTTACTCTTCATTGCTAATGTCTTAAAAGCTGAACATAATCATAATTTTGTTATATGTTACAAAGAGCTTTATAAAGTTCCAAAGTAATCAACCACATGCAAAGAATGTCCTGTCATTCTCTTGTCCATTAATACAGTAGGATTTAGTATTAACTTGATATCTTATAACTTAGTTATAATGCACATTCATTTGAAAGTGATACATGTGATACTCTCGATCCCTTGCGGGTTTATGACTAGTGGGAATAGCTATTACTGAGGATTAAATGTAAGACAGATATAAGATAGGTATTAAATATGGCAGAAAATCAGACCCAAGTGTAAAATTCCTATCTGTCTCCCTTATTATTGTTGTTATAAATTAATTCAAAACTTAAGCAAGTTATCTGTAAGATGGGTATAATGCTTATCTAAGTCTGTAACACAAACCTTGGCTTACACCAACTGCTAAACAAATTTAATCTTTTAAAAAATTATGAAATGAATATCACACTATTATTCAAATGACCCTTTATCCACCTATACTCATTATTTATTAGATATCCACCCTTCCCTGGGACCCAGGGAAAAAATATTGTCACCACTCAGGGAATTTGACAGTGAAGTGTAGGGACACAGAGTAGAGTCTAAGAACCACACACAGTGCGAGTGAAGGACCATCTGGAATTCAGAGAGAGGAGTCCGTTCTGTCTGGAGGCGAGGGTGAGGAAAGGCTTCTGGACCTGGTGACCCGGCACTCTCTGGGGAAAGGCGGAGGCACTTCCGAGGCAGATGGCCGCAAAAGCACCGGGGAACTAATTACTGCAGGAGGAAGGGGAGGGATGAGCAGAAACACAAAGCTCTGAAGGAACCAAAAACGTTCAGGGCGGCGCAAGCCCATTTGTTTATATATGACTATAATGAATAGGCAAAGGGAATGTGAGGAGGAAGGAAGAAAAGCTCGTAAGAAAGCTCAGGGTAATTACAATCTTAGAATCGGTAAGGAAGAAAAAGCAGAAGGCAGGAGCAGTGACTGGTGTGAGAAACAGGGAGAGATCAGGAAGGTGGATAAGGAGGTGTAAACACAGATGCAGCAGGAGCAAGAGGCAAAGTGCAGAGGTGGCACTGGAGAGGCCATTCCCCGCAGTGGGGGACAGAGCAGCGCTGTTAGGAGCTGGGGGGCGTCTGGAATTAATATGGGGAAATGTGCCATCATCTACTGGGGAAACAGGAAACAGGGTCCTCAGTGAATAGGCAAGTTTGATTTGGGGCCACAAGGACATACTGAAGAGAAGCTGAAAATATACTGACTTTACTTATGATCGAATAAAAGTTTCGAATAGCGCAAGAGAAAGACAGGATGGGAGGTAAATCAGTCATGAAAGAAAGAACTGGCAGGACAGTATGAGAGCAGTATGACAATGATTGTACACAGACACAAGTATGAAAAAAACACCAACGAATATGTAGTGAGTGTGTTGTACATGCAGATGCCAAGATGAATAGATTATTTTGGCCCTGGCTGGGCTGCTCAGTTGGCTAGATCATTATCCCGACACTCCACGTTGTGGGTTTGATCCTAGCAGGGCACACACGAGGATCGACCAATGAGTGCACTGATGACTGGAACAACAAATTGATGTTTCTCTCTCTCTCAAATCAATAAATACAAATTAAAAAAAAGATTATTTTAGCCTCAAGGAGCTTATGGCCCAGACAGAGAAACGCGAGATAATTCCGGGTAACAGTAAGTGGCACTAAGAGGATAAAATGGGGGAATGTGATAGGAAAAGAGACAGGGTGAAGAGTCTCAGAATCTGGCCAGGGTCTGAACCTGACAGCAGTGAGGGCTGTGGAGCTCGGCTTCAGGCCAGTTCAGATTAGCACTAAATGTTGCTTAATGGTTAACGAACAGGTCACTGATAAACACATCCACTGCCTTTCTTATAAAACAGCATTACTGAGTCATGATTAACATATATAAACTGCACAAGTTAAATAAATCTACAAGCTAATTTAAAATATAGTGTGCTAAATTGTGATATGTATGCACCCCTGAATAGATCACCACAATCAAGAAAATGAACTTGTCCACTCCCAAAGTTTTCCCAGACCCCTTTGCGATCCTTCCCTCTTATTCCTCACACTTGCCTTGTTCCTAGGCAAAGAACTACTGTTCTTTTCTTTACAGTTCTTAGAATTTCCTATGAATGGTATCATACAGTAAGCACACTATCGTTTTCTTTCATTCAGATTAATGATTTTCCGGTTGATGCATGTTGTTTCATCAAATAAAAAAAAAATCTCCTTTTTATTTCTGAGTAGTATTACACTGTAAGGATATGAGAATTTCTTTATCCAATCATGTGCTCTTGGATATTTGGGTTGTTTCCCAGATTCATGCAATTATAAATAAAGCTATTATTAATACTGTATAGTCTTTGTATGAACACATGCTTTCATTTCTCTTGGATCATAGTATCTAGGAACGACCAGTTCATACAGGTGGTAGATGTTTTAACTTTTGAAAGAAACTGCCAGTGTGTTCCAAAGTGACTGTACCCTTTTGTATTCCCACTAACCATGAGATTTCCAGTTGCTTAACATCCTTGCCAAGGCTTAATACAGTCTTAGTTAGGCATGCTAATTAGTGTGCTATGGTATCTCACAGTGATGTAATTTACATTTCCCTAATGATTAAAGGTTGTATTTGCCATCCATATATGTTCTTTGTGGGAGCATTTGTTTAAATCTTTTGTCCATTCTTTTGAAAATTCGGTTGTTTTTTTTACTGAGTTTATAGAGTTCCTTATACATTCTAGATATGTTACTTATATTCACAAATATAAGTTACTTACAAATATTTCACTCAATCTATGGCTTATCTTTTCATTTGTTTCAGAGTGGCTTTCAAAAAGCAGAAGTTAATTTTGATGAGAGCAAATTTGTTGAAAAACACCACGGTTTTGGTGTTTCATCAGAGAGGAAAGGTCTACCTTCCAATGTTGCAATAAATCTTTCCTGTTTTCTTCTAGAAGTCTTACAGCTTTAGAATTTACATTTAAATATATGATTCATTTGAATTAATTTTTGTGTATGGTGTGAGGTATGATTTGAAGTTCATTTTTGGTGGGCATATCAATATCAAAGTGTTTCAGCATCAATTGTTAGAAAAGATTACGCTTTCTGCATTGAATTTACTTTGCATTTTGTCAGAAATCAAAAGATCACCTAATGTAAGTCAATCTCTTCACTCTCTGTTATGGTCCATTGATCCATTTGTCTACCTTTATGCCAATAAGACTGTTTTGACTACAATATCTTGAAGTCATGTAAATCTTCAGTACTTTACCTGACCAAATCCATGTTGTGGATTTGATATGGTAAAATCTTATGTAGAACTATTGTAAAATGTTATGTAGAGATGTTACGCAGAATAACTGAGGAAGTAACTGAACTGCTATTTCCCTTTGAGCATGTCTACTTTTGTTCAACTACCACGGGGTATTTCATACTAATGGAATACACCTGATTTAAAATGATGGCCTCCTGATTTCTAAATAACAAACTCTCTGGTATTTACTTTCCTAACGTGCAAGATTCAAACTAATCCATTAGCACTGAGAAGTCAAAATATTACGGGGTTGAGAGATAACACGAAAACAAGCCATCATTTCTTTGCTTGTGAGAGCTTATCAGAAAAAACTTCGGGACGTTTACACAGTGGAATGCTATGCAACAGAAAGAAGGAATTCCTACCTTTTGCAACAGCACATGTGGAGCTGGGGAGCATTATGCTAAGTGAACTAAGCCAGTTGGTGAAAAACAAATACCATATGACCTCACTTATAACTGGAATCTACTGAACAAAATAAACCAGCAAAACAGAACCAGAGACACGGAACATGGAACAGACTGACAGTGAGCAGAGGGGAGGCGGGAAGGAGATACTCGTGGAAAGAAGGGGAAGAGAGTAGTCAAAGAACACGTATGAGTGACCTGTGCACAAGGACAACAGTGTGGGGATGGACTGTGAGAGCAGGGTGGGCAGGGTGGTGAGCTGGGCGGAGGAGGGCAAAGGGGGAAAAACTGGGATAATGGTAATAGAATAACAAAAAATTGTCATCAGAAAAATAATGACATTCTAAAGGTGGCTCATATTAAAACAGATACTACTTATGTATTCACACTTATTCAAAATATCCTTGCACTTGCTATTATCTATTTATCGTCTTAACTATTACAGCGCTTTTAAAGAAGTTTTTATAAATATGAGTATAGTTAAATGGAAAAATCCCAGCACATCCTATAAATACATAAAAACTTGAGCAGATTATATAGTTACTAGGTAGTTATAAAACGCTACCTAGAAAAAACGAGAAGTCTTTATGGAAAAAGAAGCCTGTAAGTCGATAGAATTAAACTGGGTAGGCATGGAAATACTGTGTGGTACTAGCCTTACAGAAGTTCAGTACAACTTTAAAAAATTAAAGAAACAAGATAAAAGAGAAATTAAGTACATTTTAAGTTAAGAAGGAAATAAATCAGTTAAAAATGTTAACTGTACCTGATCATCATTTTCATCTGAAAAGGTTATTGATGTAAGCTTGTAGTTATTCTTCAATAAAAACTCGTTGACTAAGAAGTTTAGAGCTCTCTTTTCCAGAGGTTTGATTGGCTCCTGGAAGCAAGATAAGATAAAATGCCGTTAAGCTTTCCTCCTTCAATAAACATGCTACCGTTTTACGTGGAAGATACTTTTGGGTCTGTTAGTCACCTACCTGAATTTCAGGACTTGATTTGTAATTTTTTCGTTCCTGTAAAGGAACTTCATGTTCTGGTGGAAGGAAATATAAATAATATTTTACTACTTTACATTTGAAAATATCTCAGCTACTTCTACATTGTCAAAGAAGGAAAAGTCTCAAAAAAATTTTACGTATTACCACCTGCAGCCTTTGTCAGGTTGGCTCGGAGGGCCTGAATGGTCTCCTTGGCTTTCCGTAGTTCAAACTCCAGGACTGGACAGGGATTTGGAATAAACACACACAGGCATCCAACCAAGAAAAGGGAAACAAAAATAAAAAAATAAAAAGCAAGGATGGGTATGAAAAAAAAATACAATTTGTATTGAAAACAGAAAGCATGCAATCTTTATGAAACTCGTGAACGCATGCAGCAGAGTTGATTTGCAAGCAAACTGGTGAATGCTCTCCATAGTTTTAGAATCCAGGGGATTACTGATAAAATGTTCTAGCTGTCTGACAAGGAAGAGATCTATTTAAAAATAAAATCTATGGCATACTCTCATCTAGGTAAATGAACACATTAGTAATCTGGGTGCTTCTGTTACACTCTAGGAAAGGAAATGCAATGAAGTGTTCTCAGGTAATATAATATTAGGGGAAAAGATAAAAATTAGATGAAGTCCAAGCAAATAGAGAAAATCTTAGGGTTAAAAAGTAAAATGTATTTTTAAAACCATTATTTAAATAGTATTATAAATCAATATATAAAAATATTAGTGAATATATGCCTTCATCAAATTGTTGAAGGAACGTAGTTTAAATATTCAACAAATGTTGGGAAGCCTATACATTTTTCCACACAAAAGCGTATGATGTTTATAAACAAGTAGAGATATGTTAACTATGTATCTTTTTTTAAAAGTTTCTAAGGGTGTATTTTAGATTTCATGTTAAACCAAAGGGGAGAAATACTTTGTCTTTTAATTTCTAATTAAGATAATTCTAAAGCAAAAGATTGAGTACAATTCTAAAAGTGTAGTTATCTACAGATACTAACTAAAATTACTCAGAATTTCAACATTTCTGATAACTCTTCAAACAGGTGTTTTTTTTATGTTAAGAGGTACTAATGAAATGCAAAAAGTTCTCCTTTTGGTACAGTCTGATTGTAAGATAAACACCGATACTGAAGAAACATTTAAATTTGGTTCTAACAGTGTTCCACCCTGAGCAAGACTTAACTGTATGTATCGTAACCGGGAACTCTATTTTAAATATATGAACACTGTTCTAAGAAACAAACAAAGCCATTGCAGTGACGTAAGCCTCTAGGAAAATTAAATGGTCTTTGTCACAACTAAATATTTTTTTAAATTATAGTATTTAAACAGTTCCGAATAAAAACTAGCAAATTTAAAAATTTAAATTGCACTTTTTCCCTGATTGACTAATAAACAGAAAAAGAATGGCAAATGAGATGCTATCAGAGACAACAAAGCTATAAAAATATGTGGAAAAATCAGGATTCACTCAGTTTGCGTATTTTCACTGAAACGTAAGCTGTGGCCAAATGGCATGTAGTACGTGAAGGCCAATTGTTCTGATGCACAGAATCTCACAGCAACCACACGGAGGCACAACTAAAACCGGACGGCATGGAGGTACTGTTTCTTTTTTGGTCGTCAGCAATGCTGATCTGCAAGCATTTCTGTGCAACGAAGTTAAAATATTTTCCCTAAAACGTACACTTCTGGAAACTCTTAAGAGTTCGTGTTAAAAGTTAAACTGCACACATTTAGAATGGAAGGTAAGTACCGAATAGGTTGATTTATTTATTTATTTAAATTTTCAAACACAAGGTAACTGATTTTGATTTAAAAATACTTAACTATACCTTAAGTAAAATGAGTGTACATATTATGCTTTTAGTATCACAATTTACTAATACATATTATAGAACAATTGCAGATCAGAAATGCCCTGCACCAGAGACAGAAATATGAAGGGAAAAAAAAAGGCAAAACATGGTTCAAACACAAACTATGAAAAAACTGAAATTCAACTGGTGCAAGTTTAGGTGACCAAGAGCAAAACAATGAATGATTAAGGCACAGAAAGCCAGAAAAACCCATGTCAGACGGCAAGAATTTCCATTTTTATGCACATCTACATATACACTGCCAAATGTCAGTAGAAGTTACCAATGCTTTGAAACAGGTCATGCTTATCAAAATGAATTCACTCTGCTGCATGTTTCTTAATATACAATATACACTTTAAAAGACAGTGGCATATCTTTGAAGCTATAGTATTATCTCCATAAAGGCACAGTACGATCAGTCAACTGCATTTACATGAGCAAGTTTCACAAGAGAGGTCTGAACAGCTGTATTTACATATGTATGAATTAGTCTCTTCTTTATTAAAAAGTATTGGCTTACAGCTCAAAATTAACCATCATGTAAAAAGATACACTGTACCAAACAACTTTCAAGAATGTTTAAAATATTGTAGTTCTCTATTAAGATGTCTGAGGGTGTTTTTAAAGAGCACTGTAGGAACCAATGAGCCATCTGCTCACTCCACCATAACAACCCTCTGGAAGCCCAGCACCACTGGATGCAATTTCACTGGAACTAAAGTAATAACTGCAAAGACGTAGGTATATTCTAATAGTGCATATAACAATCTTACCAAAATATTAATGAGCAAGTCAGTATAAGCAACTCCATACTAGTTGAACAGTTATTTCCCAACCAGGGCTGGACAGTGCTCGTGTAATATCAAGGGCACCTGAGGGCTAACAGATCATGCTCTCCCGACCTGGGAGATGTACCACTGACCATGGAAACACCAAAGGTGAAATGTTACATTGCGAAGCAAAAAAGAGTATCAATTGCTTAATGCCCTAATTTAATATACCACTAATAGTACCTTGAGATATCTGCTAGTCTTAGCTCCTTTTGGCACAAAACTCAAAAGATTATTTTGGAAGACCTTTCTTGTAACACTGATGAGTCGCGCATTTTTCATTCCTGTCCCTGTTCAGTTTGGAAGAGTTCGAACCAACAGGGTGGAGTCACAAACCCTACCATCTCATGGCAGACATAAGATTGTCTTCTTTCAAGCACTGGATTTTGTTTTTCTTCTGAATATCGAGTAATTTAACTTCGTAATAAAATACCACTTCCCCAGCTTTAATACTTATTTTATTATCCCACAAATATTTCCAGGAAAAGAAAAAAAATTTTTAAGACTACGAGTTAGGATAAAAATCTATTCCTAAAATAATACGAAAACCCCCAAACAGTACCATCAGCACCCCTCCTGGGTTTAGAGAATTGAGACAGGCATGACTTGGTAGATAGTGAGAAATAAGTAAGTACAAGCAAGATGCAATCTCCACAGTTTGGAGATACTTAGTTTTCTACAGTCTTCATAACGGGGAAAATAATCATCGCAAAAACTCAAAAGAAAAAAAATTCTTTCCATTACAGTTCCCCCTTCCCGGGCTCTCTCACACAGATCCCTCCATCACTCATCTCAAAGTTGCTGGTTCTCAGCGTGATATCCTCGGCCCTTTCCTACCCTGCAGCTCCACTGGGATGATATCCATGCTTATGGTCTTCTCTATCACCATCTCTGAGGACTCAGAAATCTTTAAACCATTTCCCCAAGATAAAGACCTACCTAATCACCACCTGCACACACCCACTTGAATGCCTCCTAAATTCTGAACTCAATCCCATCTAAATGAATTTCACCCTCTTCCTGACAAATCTGCTCTCCCTCCACCCCTTCAATCTCTCTCATTAACGGTACCACTACCCACCCAGCTGACCCAACAGGAAACCTGGAGTGTACCCATCACTTACCCCTTGTGCTTCCTTCCACATTAGTTAAAAGTCCAAGCCATAATGATTCCAACCCTGAGGGACCCTTTACATAACCATTCATCTCAGTTGTCCGCATTCTATCCTAGTTCAGATCTTTATGACTTATCAGATAAATGACAACAACCTAAAACCCTAGTAAAGGCTTGTTGCCTTTAAAGTAAGATGTTATTTCTTTTATTTTAAATCAGAGAAAAATCGTAAGTAAGATTTAATTAAGGTTCAATATAAGAAGAACAAAAGTACCATACCAGGGGAGAAATATATAATAGAAAGACAAGTAGGCTTATTTAAACCTGGTCAAGCTGGATGGGTAGGCTGTGGGCCAATAGCTAACCAATGAGAGGGCTACTGATGCTGCTTCTTACCCAGGACAGAGGGCAGGTTATCCCCACAGGCCAGAGTCCGAATGCTATTTGAGGATGTCTAACAGTCTGTTTAAGCTTCAGAAAGCCTCCATTGGTCTATTTTGTTGACTGCTGTCCCCGGAACAGCATAATACCTTGAATACAGAGTAAGCACTCAAATATTTGTTGAATGACTGAGCATAATACTTGATGCCATGTATAATAAATCTGAAACATTACTGATCTTACCAGCATTGAGTGTCTTTCCCACAAATCAGATAGTAGTTTTGGTAGTTCCCTAGATCCCAACATAAAAGTTAAGGCGTGAACTAGAGAATACAATAATAGGTAGAGATATGAGAAGAAATAAAGCCGGAGACTCTGATGCTAAAAGATGGATCATGTGAACCTCAGACAGATCCTTATAACTGAATTTTCCAAAGTACTGAATATTTGTTTGCATTAGAGATATAGACATGTTTTAGTAGACATAACCTGAGGGTAAAAACTACCTATTGTATATTTTTATATCCAGCGCATAACATAGTCCTAACACACTGTAGATGCTCAAAGTGCCTAAACGAAAGAATGGCCATCATAATATGAAGAAAACTTCAAAAGTTAAGAGGTGCACAGAGCAGGCGCTCAATAAACAGTTGTTCATTTACAGATCTCTTCCTTTTTAAAAGAACACTATAGGGACTTGAAAAACATCAGATTTTTAAATTTAGGAAAAAGATGGTAAGAATGATGCTGAAAGCAAGTGTACCTACCATTTGATAAACAGTAACAGAAGATTAAAGGTTGGAGCATGCCCTACGTTTGCATGGTGGGCCAGTGAACAAGACTTGTGTTACCTGTAACCTCCTTCTGCCCAAGACCGGTATAGAAAAATAATGCAGAGACTTTTGTACTTTCTTTCTCTTAGATGTATATGTGATCCAATGACAGAAGGCAGGATAATTAATTACCCTTTGGGGTTACTGGTCTTTTGATGTAAGCTTTTAAGTTACTTCCAATGGTTAGCGAAGAGTCACTTTATGGAAATGGAAACTGTGATTAATTAAAACTGTTTTGTAAAGTTTCACCCACATATCACACATCTGATTCAATAAAAAGCAACAGTACAAAAGCACTAGAAGTCTGAAAGCTGTTCACTGAGAACAACGTGTTTTTCTTCCTTCTTCCAATGAAGATGAAAGACAGCATGGATCTCTATACGGGCATCACAGAGTAACCATGCATTACTTTATGTCCCCAACATTAGAGACCGAGGAGAACCCCTAGATTTAAAATAAAAGGTAAGCTTCCCGCTGCAGCACACCAGAAAGCCGATATTATCCCTGACCTCCTGCTGAGATCTGGTGGTTCCTTACTTCACAGCCCGCTGACCATGGCAAACTCCTGGGTTGACCACCGGCAGATGACAACCATGAAACACCAGACTTCATCCTCGTGCCTGAGCGCCACGCCACCCCAAGGCCCCTGAGGCCACCATCCACAAGAACCCCTTGGGGAGCGAGACTCCTCTTTTCTGGTCAGCTCCCTTGTGCACAAGCTCTTTTCAACAAACTGCTTGAAAAAAATATAACTAACTACCAAATAAATAAATAAATAAATAAATAAATAAATAAATAAAGTGGTGAAAACTATAATGTACTTAAAACATTTCATTCTTAGTTTTTTGATCATGACATTTTCTTCTAAATCAATAATGCTTCCCCTAATTAGAAATACTAAAATACCTAAATAATGAGAATGATGAGTCTCTTAAATTTGACTAAATCTAAAATTTAGATTTTCAAATGCAAAAAAGAAAATTATTTAGATGGCCAATGTCTGGGTAGAAGTTATTTTCTAATATGGGACCATTTGAACAATAATACAATATGTAAAACTAGATGCATCTGGTTACTCTTGATAAACTAAAATGCCATGTGTTGAATATTTAATATATAATATATTAAATGTAATATAAAATATAAAGCATAAAATATTTACTATTTTATATAAAATATAAAATAGTGAATATTTAATATAATATATAATATATAATATATAATATTCACTATATAATTATATATAACATGCTACTTAAAATACTTAGTAGGATAAATCAGTCCTAAAGTCATTCAAATAATTTCCATTTGATTTGTGAATTTTTAGATATTACTGATGTGATTTGCTGTTTTAAAACACTTGTCAGTTAATAATGCTTATGACGAATCGTGATCTGATATGCAGAACCACAGTAAGCCCTTCCACTCGCCTCACCATGCAAATGGTGCTGCTATTGCTTATACTGCTGAATCTTCCCTCAGCTTCTGTTGAACTAAAACCAATTATGTCATTCTGAACTCATATAATACTCTTGGAGGTTTTTAATATTCAGTATCTTCATTCTCGAGCAAAGACTAAAAACCATACAATGCAACACCGTTTTTCCTCAGGTCAAACCTCCTCCTTCCTAAGAGACAGCACGCGGCACAGCGAACAGTGGGCTCTGCTGCCGGGCCATCAGCATGTCAGTCCTAGGACTTCTGCCACCGAAGTCCTAAAGGGTCCCTCTACGTGCCTCAGTTTCCGGGAGAGGACGGAAATGCAACAAGTCCTAATCAGCACTTGGTTTTATTCAAAATGACCATGACAAGTAGGTTTTAACAAACTTGTCCCAGTAAATGGAAGAAAAATCCAACAGCGTTGGTCAAGAGAAGAATCCGTATGGTGGGTGTTCCCTGACTCCACAGGCATCTCTCTTGTTCCAGGAGAGCCCACCATTGTAGCGGAGATCAAAATACTTAACTGGTATCTATCTGCTATCCCCCCTCTGTCCCAGCCTAATTAGACATACTAAAATACCTAAATGATGTCCTGTGAAACCTACAATTCCTCCAAGGCGCTCACGAATGACTTCAATGACAGTGACAGTTTTGAGGCAGCAGAAAGCTACCAGACAGCTGACACTTAGAGAGCCACCAGCACTGCCATACTGGCAGTTCCAGGGGGAACCCCAGGCGAATACAACTGGCAGAACAGATACAAATTGGTCTTCTGAGGCCTCTCCAGATCCAATGGTGATGCTTAGAAGGCAGAACTAGAGGGAGGGTGGGCAGGGGGCGGAGACTAGAATGAGTAACCAAGCAACCAGAAAGAACTTGTTGGTCTTCTTATTGGAGGTCCCTGCTGTACCAAGCATTAACCCTTTCTTTTCTGGATCACAGGAAAGCCAGAAGTTTCTGGAGAGATGCTGTAACAGGGAATACCCGGGGAACTCAAGACAAAGTTTTACTCAACAATCAGTATTAAACTATTTGAATCAATTTTAATAGAGCTGCACTGGTCTACAATATCTGAATATCAGCCCTGGTTTGGAGAATCAAAGGCATGTGAAAGCTGAGGCCCAACTAACTTAGTACTACAATCTGGCTAACTTAAAGCTGTTTTACACCAGGTTTAGAACTACATGGTCGTACACTGTTGGCTGTGAGAACTCAGGAAATTGCAGGAGTGCATAATCAGACATAGCACCACTGGAAGAGAATGTTAGGGGCTGAGATGTTCCCTGCAGCCAATAAATTAGTAAAGTAATTTTGTACAATTATATAATTATATAATTATATTAACATACCAAATTGTAGAAGAAAAAGAATTCCTCAAGTCAGTTCATAATTTCTGCAACGTCAAAGAATCCGAATCTGTCTTTATGATCTTACTCACCTGCCACTCTCTCATCTGTTTCCCTGTTACCGTCATCTGAGTATCTTGCAAAGTCTAAAGAATCGAGAGTACTGATGCTCCCAGCTCTGTCTGTAATAAAGAGGAAAGTAAACAGTGAACAGATTTATCAAACTGTAGTGGAAATCAATTTCCTACAATTATTTCCAGTTAATAAAACTATGATTCTAAGATATAGGAATTCTATTAGAGCAATAAACTAAGGTAAAAATACTCATGCCAATTAAACTACTACAAAAAACCTCATGTTTCCCTGCCCAAATTTCTGGGTAACTTCTGAACAGTGAGTGCATACACAGTACATACTGCAACCAGCCCATCTAAACTCGAAGGAAGGAAGGGAGGGAGGGAAGGAGGGAGGAAAAAATTAAAATTTTGAGCTGCTGTCCAAAGGTTTGCAGATTAAGTCCAACAAGATAATTTCTTACCAAAAAAATAATAATAAAGTTTGAAAACACAGAACAGAATCCTGTCTCCACAACAGTAATACTCGTACTGCCCACCATACAGTATAAAACTATTTGACATACGACTAGTAAAATGTGAGCCAGTTTCAAGAGAAAATAGTCAACAGGGACCAATCACAAAATAATCCAGATGTTCGAATGAGTAGACTGACATTTAAAAATAACTATAATTATGCTGACGAAGTAAAGGAATACGTGAACACAATGAACGAAAGGAGATGAAATCTTAGCAGAAAAATAGAGACTATAAAAAAATACCAGTGGAAATTCTAGAACTGAAAAATGTGTCATTAGGCAATTTCATCCTTGTGTGAGCAGCATGGAGACATATATGCAAACCTAGATGGTAACTGCTGCCAGACTGCAAATCCGCACAGCAGGTTACTGTCCACAATCAGGTGTAAGAAAAAAGGATCAAAAGACATAGTAAACACAAGATGGATGAGGCTTTTTATTTATACATCGTTTGAATAGGTGAAAATGTAAAATGGCAGACCGAAATAAACCGCCGGCCTACAAATATACCTATCTAGTAAATAACTAATATGATCCACTATAAAATGGAGTTCCTAGATTACTACATAGTACCTAAAAATGTTCATTCTTCGAAAATGTTAACCTAACCACTTTTCTCCAAAGTTTTATAGCACACCATAAATGAGAGGTTTCCCCTCTAATATAATATACATATTGTAAGTAATTATAAAAAACAAAGGTGCATAGAAAACTAAACTACCCCAATCCCACTAAAACTGGGGATATGATCAGATATCATTTAAATGTTCATTTTTAGATATTCTTTTTATGAACTCTTTTTGCCATGTCTAAGTATGTATAGAAATTATTTTTTAATTTTCCTAATTTTTTAAAGATTTTATTTATTTATCTTTAGAGGGGAAGGGGGGAAGGACAGAGGGAGAGAAACATCAGTGTATGGTTGCCTCCCGTGTGTCCCCTGCTGGGAACTGGCCTGTAGGGAACCAGCCTGCAACCCAGGCATGTGCCCTGACTGGGTATCAAACCGCGATCGTGTGGTTCGCAGGCCCGCGCTCAATCCACTGAGCTATACCAGCCAGGGCCTGTATAGATATTCTTATAAAAACAGAATGAATACATATCATTCATATGAAGTTTTTTAAAAATAAAGCACATACAGTGAAAATCTGCCACATCATTAAGGCTACTGATACATACTTCTTCATTAGTACACACAGCAATCTGAGTTCCGTCGGCGGCACATAATAGCAGTGGCCAGTTATTATTTTTAGTCTCACCCATCTAACATACTATATACACTCCTATCTTAACTAGGCATCTCTTTGATTGTTTGAAAAGTACATTGGCCGTCTACCTGTTGGACGTGTGTGTGAATTTTCTATGCACATTCTTCGACCGTGTATCAACATCTTGACTTTCCTGATATATTAGTTTATCTGGCGATTACTGCCAGAACCAGAAACTCCACTTAAGTACCGTACTCTCTGTGCTTAGTCACATGCCTGAGCTACTCATTAGCTATTCTGAAGTCTCTAACCTGTGTATTAGAACATGTGCACCAAACAGGGTGAACTTGCATCAGCCAAAATTCTGGTATTGTAATACTATACACCTCACTGTTTTAGTCCTGATTTTCACAGAATGTTAAGTATCGATGTTGTTGTTTGATTTCAGATAAGTATTTTTTATTATGTTAAGGATCCATCTGTTAGTTTTCTAATATTTCTTTCTCTTGTTCCTTGTAATATTTGTAATCCCACACAAAGGCACAGGTTACAGCCTATTTGATCACTACACATTATGACTCCATTATACTCTGAAAGAAATCATCTATGAAGTAGGGAAAGTCTTTGGGGAAAGAAAACAATTTAATTTTATTAAACACAGTTCAATATATTGAAAACTATACTCTAACTTTTTTTAGTTCCAAGCCAATGACTTTATATTCCCTAAGAAAAAGAGTTCTGATACTTTTTAAATAACAGTAACTATGATGTAATAAAATTAATGCCCTAATTCATTAAAACGTATTCCACCATGTCAGAAGAAAACACTGTTTACGGAAGAAAGTAATTTAAACTTACTGGACTAACCTATAAGAGATTTTGTAAATAAAATGTACTTTGGATTTTAAAACTAATACAAGGCAACATTATAGCTCCAAGCTAAATATGCTTCTTTAGATGCAGCCATAATTTTTTTCCAGAGCAAACAAATGCCTTGCCAAATACTCGAATATAAATGAAGAGTTTGGAAAAAACTAACTTCTTTTATTAAGAAAGAAGCTACCACATGCTAATGTGAATACACCAGCATTTCTTCAAATCACAGGATTGTGTAACTTCTCAATAGTAATTCATTTCATAACTCAGAAACTGAATGATCAGGGACTTTCATCACAGGATGCTAACTGGTCCGATTTTATAAATCAATACTTAAGTCGTCTTATTTATATTTACTCCTAATACCTTAGTACCGATGACAGAATGAACTTTTACAATAGTTTAAAAAATTAGTCTCAGGCCCTTGAAAAGGTAGTATTTTATTGAAATTACATAGCACTTTAAAAGTTAATATATCAGAAAAACCAACCAGCTGCTGGCAGGCAGGTACGGAGTGTCAGTGAACTCAATGAAACATTCGCCAAACGACCACTGTGTAGCAGGTCACTGACAGAAAGGTGCAGTGAAATATTAAAGATTCATTTTTAAAGCATATGGATGTAAAAATCCACATAGGTATGTTGTATATGCTTATATATGCACTGTTTTCTAAATATACACAGTAAGTTACTAATAGTAATGGACTCAGATGAATTAAAGTTTTTCACTACATATTCTGTATTGTTTGAATTTTTGTATGTATTTTGATATATTTCCTCCAAAGACATTTAATAATTTTCATAATGGCGATACTTTATATTGAAAATATCTTGAAAGTACCCAATTCACAATTAAAATACAGGGAGAAAAATAATATCAAGCAATTAATTACTAATTAATAAGAACTAATTAAGTTCTAATTCTTTCGGTAAAAGTCATTTATTGAACCATGCCTAAAAAACTGTGTCATGGTAAAAAATAAAGAAATACATAGTATATAAATTTAATGAATAAAAAGATAAGAAATCTACCTTACCTTAAAACCTGAGGTTATACATAAACATTTTATTATATTATCCACTTAAATTAAAAATAAGTCTTAAGAGATCTGTCAATGGCAAAACTCCCATTTATATCTTCTGATTATCAATTCTTCTCTAATGCTGGGGGTCATTATACTGACCTCTAAATTCAAAATATTTGAAAGAGGTAACCTTAGAGATAGACCAACCTTCTCATTTCTACAGATGAGCAAAACTGGGCTATGTGTTCATTCAATGAATATTTACAAGCCCATAGTGAGAATCAGAAAGATAGAAGTCCTTGCCTTAAGTAAACTCGTACAAACCGCTGGAATTAAGCCATGCACACAACATAACAATGCTTCAATCAGAGCCTTCATGTTAAAGGTTAAATTCATTAGTGAGCAAGTAAGGAATAGAATTCAAGTCTCCCAGTACGAGACCTATCTCTTCTTTGTGACAAGATTCCACAATGAGCTAAACTTCAAAGCCAAAAGATTTAAACTTAGGAAGAGACTTTAACACACATTTTATTGACGAACTATTCAGTTAAATTTCTTTAATGCTGGATGATTTTACCATGTAAACAGCTGTTGGGTAAAGAGGAAAATTATTATTAATAACAGTAGTTATTTTGATAGTTAACATTTTTGACCACTTTTTCTGCACCAGAAGCTTTTCAGATAACCTCATTTAACCTTTGTAACAATCCACTGTGAGGAGTTGCTACCACCTGCATTTCACGGTAAAGCAAACAGACTATCCACAGTTGTACAACAACTAGGAAGCGTTCGAGTAGAAACATGAACTCGAGCTCTCTGATGCCAAAGCCTGAGCTTTAAACCACTAGTTCCCTTGAACGATATGCAACAGTATGCAAGTTCAGACCGCCTACACGTAAATTGGGCTTGATACTAATAATGATCCCAGAAAGACCAGCTTTGACTCAACTTTGCTCAGACAGAGCTAAGAAAACAGGCTGTATGCAGAAAAAGGTAATTTTCACAAGGAACATTTCAAGCTTACATATTTCTAGGATCTACTACCTAAAGATAATTTCTTTGACATAATTTCAACATTTATTGAAAGCTTGTTTGCCAGGCGCAATATTAGGCATTGGTGATACAGGGATAACTAAATATGCTCAGTCTTTTCCACATTCATGCTAAATAAAAGCATTTATAAATGATCTACTTTAGGCACGTGTACCATGTGTGATAAAAAGCAAAGATATATGAGACATGAACTCCAACTAGTGTCTTTTTTATAAAACCTAGGCAGCTAATACATCAACACAAAAAGTATTCACTAACACTAATTTATTCACAAGTCTCCATGCAATGAACTTCCGTACGTGTTAGAGACAAAAAGTACACATGTATAAAAGTTTAAAGGACTCAGAGATTACTATGGCCAGAAAAGCTTCAGGGAGAGGAAAAAACCTCCCTTTAGGAATACACAGGATCTAGAAAAAAGAAAAGGAA